CAGGGTTGTATTACTTATCTCGCCAAAACTTGATGTTCATGTATGACCTTGTAGCTCAATGACATGAGCGACTGCCTTTAGTTGGTACCCAGTATTTCGTGATGACCAGGGCTCAGGTCCGACCAGCAGCACAACAGACTTAGCTTCTGTCTAATTTAGCTTTTGCCTGATGGTATTGGAAATCTATGCACATAATTTTTACACAAATTTGTGTTTAATCTGACTATGCCATCTGTGTGACATGTGGCATACAGGGATCTTGTTGCTTTCAGCTACATTTTTGTTTGTTTTGTTTTTGAACTTTGACCAATCCCATTACCCATTTTGCATGCCAAAGCCTTAAGCCTAGCTTATCTCTGTTATCGGGACAGGAGGGAGGGAATCCTTGTGTACAATTATTTGTGTCATGTTGGAAAAATTGCAAAACCTAATAAACAGACTTACGGTAGAACTTGTTCACACATTCATACATTTGAACATGCTCCTCTGTTGAAAACTGTTGTGGAACCGCTTTAAACAACAGACATCACTGTGTCATATTTGCATTCTACCTGGTGTCAACGATGGCCAATGGGGAAACTCCAACTCAGCCAAATGGCATTCGGCTGACCAGTGGTGGATATATGATCACTCAACTCTATCATTCAGTCAGTAAGTCAGTCAATGACATTTGCAATTATAGGTCTGGACTCGCTGCTGCGATCCAGCCAAAAATTAATATTAGCAAATCTTTCTAAAAAAATCATTCATTCATTTAATTTAATTGCAGTACATCTAAAAGCATATATGATGGCAGTACTGCCATGCAGATACTACAGACTGAAAGAATATGAGCGCTGATTGAAAATAACTGTTTCAATCTGGAGGATCAATTTTTAATGCTTTAAAGCTAAACCTAAAAACTAGCCTGACTGGGACCAGGCTAGTCTGGAGGGATATGTTTCCATGGTAACCTAGGATAGACTTCTAAAAATCTATCATATGAACCAGGATTTCCTGGAAATTATTAAAATAACTCCTTTACTTCTAGTAATCTCGCTTCACACCCTCTGGTTTTCTTGTGAGTCATTTGTTTTATTTCATTTTGACATCATTATTGATGATATAAATGGCAATGACTCACCAGCTTTTGGGAGTCTTTCAGACTCATGCAACCGACATGCACAATCACCTGATCCATTCTGTAGAGACATGCACACACATGAAGACAAAAGAAATTTCACAAACTTTCAACTTCCCCTTTTTCCTCTAAACTCGACATAACGGCAAACCTTCAAAGCATGTGATGACTTACTTTTCCTCGGCTTTCTCACACCATTTCTGTGCCAGCATCATCCTCTCTTCAACACTGAGAGACATGCTCTCTCCGGTGGTGCCATTCACTGTAACCAAGTAAAGTCTTGCCTTATTTACATAGAATTTTTGACATCACAAAAGCAGATCTTAAAGGAAAGTAAGGAACACAAGCTGACCTCAATCTAGCTCTAATGAATCAGGACTCACAAAATACAAATTACGCTTTACAGTAGAGTATGTTATACAATATCCACTAAGAACAAGGGAAAGAAAGCAAAAAACAACTAATTGCTTGACATATATGAGTAAAAGGATGGCCTAAACTACACCACTAGACTTTCAGGGAAGGTGAGGAAAACACACTTTTTGAAAAAAAATGGAGGAAACCTCTGGTGGGTCCAAATTCATACAGGGATCCACCACCAGGACGGCTGAGTGTGCAATATTTATCGAGACAAAGCAATTTCAAGGGTAATGAGCAGTGATGCAGACAATGACAGTTGTGAGTAAGAACATAAAACATGATGAAGCACAAACGATTAGCACAAACGTCCTCTGTTGGATCAGTTCACACAGACAGATCTTACAGGAACCAGTGAGGAAATGAAGCATTAAGAAAAGAAGAAGCATTGCACAAACTGATTCAATGAGTTTGAGCAAAGTGTGAAATGAACAGTAATCAGAGTCATGTTTGACACACAGGAAACAATGATTAGCCCTAATCAATATAGAGAAAAGCGCATATTTTACATCTTCACTTTGTCTAACTTTTCTCTGTGTTTCTATATCATGGACTGGAGCTTGAGACAAAGCAATATAATCTTGTTTGTCCAGAAAAGGTTCAATAAAGCTGCGTTAACTTAAGACCAACATATAACTATAAGTACGTATCACAAGTGTTAATGTCAACATGCCATACCAATGTTTTTTTTTCTTCCTTTTTTTAGGAAAATTATATGAAGCCAACATTGATGCAGTGTGAACCAATATTTTTCATTGATAGCTGAACTGATATTGGTATTAATTGATTAAATGTGAAGGTACCCTGTGGGGTTTTAGGAACAACCAGTGGCCCTATAGAGAAGTGTGTCCTGGGTTTGTTTGTATTGTACGGGTATACAACATACTTACATGTTAACCACTGCCAATTAGACTTTACAAGCTAAGTGTGGGTGTGTCTCACTACTTTAATTTGTGGTGAAAACATTCAACGATTCCAACAGAATGAATACATATCCTTTGTATGCAACTTATGCAGTAACTGATGACTTCGTAATAACAGAAAAAATGCCTGTATGGTTATCATTACATTTATAAAGGCCCTGTTTTTACTGTAATTATCTATTTGTGTTTTTTTTTTATTTCTTATTTTTTTATATATAATCACAGATCACTTATTTAGAATACAATGTGTGGCTGTTAAATGATGAGACTAGTGCTGGCAGTCTCGTTTCTTAATAGCCACAACTCGTAAATGGGTTTTGGCGTAAAATGAATAACAGAAGCAGCACTGCATTTAACGATTTCAGGGATTCATGAAACAAGATATCACTATTTCAATATATCAGTGTTTCATTTTTTAAATATTACGGTTGTCATCAATACTGGTATCGCAATACCCTGATATCAGATTTTTCCTACTTTTCTTTTTTTTTTTTTCTTTTAGTTATTTTGGTGAGATGACTTGGCAGACAATTTAATTTTCAAATGTAGAATTACTGGTAGAGTATGTGAAATCCCAAAGTACAAAAGTAACTAACTGACTGATAGCCTTTTATTTATTTATTCAATTTTAAAACCAGAAACAAGGGTTAACAAGGTTAACAGAGAAGGTATGGCTACGAACCAACCAGGTGAAACATGCAATATCAGTGATTCAGATGGAACACAGACAATGACAAATATCAAAGGAAGAATCCATTTGTAAACTTACCAAATATGTTCTTTACACCTTGCTTTTCTGCCAAGTAGTCAATATAAGGTCCAATCTGTGACAGGTTGATTTCACTGTTTTGGGAAAATGTAAAAAATAAAGGCCCACACATTTGACAAAAAGAATACCAAACATGCTATAGTATTCCAGGTCAACCAGGGTGTATGATGACCACAGTTTTCAGATATGTCCACACTCACTCCTCACTTTTAACTATTACAGGGGAATTGAATGAGCACACTCACACACCAAACACACCATTCAGTGCTGGATTTATGGAAAAACACGCAAAGGAATGTGGTTTCTGAAGGCTGCTTACCCTTCTGCTGTGAATGGAGTAAATGTAGCTGCAACAAGTCCTTTCAGCTTTTTATCAGGAGGAGCCATGGCTGACATGAGAATCTGATTTACATACAGATAAACCAGATATGTATGGAACAAAAGAAAGAAAGAAAGAAAGAAAGAAAGAAAGAAAGAAAGAAAGAAAGAAAGAAAGAAAGAAAAACCTTTGAGCCCAGTTATAACTTTTACAGTGCCACTATCATGTTCTTAAAAGTCTCTTACACTTACATAAATATTGTATCATGCACCTAAAGTATGTACGGCATGTAATCAATTAAGACACACATATGGGTTATAGGAAGGAATGAAGAGGAAATTAAAATGTACCGTAAAAAACGATTAAAGGAATCCAAACGTCAGCGCCAGAGCACATGTAGGACTGCTTTGTCTTCTGTTCGTTGAGGACATCAATTTTATTCCTGTGGAAGTTCGTGATTGGCAACCTGTTTCCTAACACACTAGTCAGGGATTTTTTCATATTCCTGTCACGTGAAACCGTGTAAGCGTCAAGTGACGCCGCAAAGCTTAATGGGAAAAGTAGTTGTGGATGGAAAGCGATAAAAATAAACATGCACTTCCCCTAGTTATAAATTAGGAAATACCTTTACACCTTTACACGTATAAACAGTGTTTCCGATAGCTTTGCAATGTATTTAGACGTTTTAATGCTGTTTTCTTTCATTTACAAAGCAGTAATGCTGCATTCATATGTTGTCAGGATATTTTAAATTTATTGGCTGGCAAGCTCGCACAAACAACACAGTACACAAGGAAAATGAAAATCTCATGGAATTCTACATTTAACATAAAAGGCAATACCCAAATGGCTCAAATTTGCCTTTATGTTTGCAGAGGCCTTATAAACTATCTCAAACAAGCTACTAATGGAAAAAGCACTGCATTAGACGATTGCAGGAATTCACGTAAATAATTACCATTGTCATGGCGTTTTTCATTATATGGAGAACAATTTGCACTTAAAGATATGATTATTAATTGTGATCAATTTTCCTTATCTCTTACAAACGACAGCACTTTGGTTCACTAAAGGCGCTGAAAGCCATTTTTTCGAGCTTTCACGAGCTGCAAGAAAGGCAGCACCTGTGAGAATGGGCGGGACGGATGTGTTTGTGGTTTTTGTTTCCTGAACGTGTACTTTCAGGTAACTCTTCCGCCTCGTCGCCTAACCATAATACATCCATGGTTCCCTGTTCAAAAGTTAAACTATTGGTTATTGATGGGGTCAGGTTATATATGCATGATAGTAGGGTGACGCTCGTGGTTGTTACATCTGCACATCCCAGGCACAGAGAGGCGATTTAATTAAAAGGCTGAGATGAAATGCTGCCTGAGAAACTAACCTTAGAGCATATGACGCTCCAGTTTCCAGGAAGCGGATGTTGTTGACGTTTCCATCGCAAACAGCATCCGGTTATTCGGGTTAGCAAGCTTGGCGAAATAGCAGCTTCCGGCGAAATTATCAACTTTATACTCCGAAGGACTGAAAAGATAGCCCTATGATGTCCGCTGCTCAACAATGGACGTGTTTTTTGTCGAATTGTCTCGTGTTCTCGGTCTTTCCGTAGACACCACCTCGGCTAGTTAGCGCAGCTGGCTAACTGGCTGATCAAACCCTGACAAGTGCCCGGCTGCTTGTCTGACTAGGTGACGGAGGAAAACTGTCAAGAGGAGGAAATAATTAACTTTTTATCTCAAAAGCTTAACCGTAGACACACCACACTGAGAATAGGAGCTGGTATGAACGGGAGCTTCCAAGGGCTGTTTTCTTGACTTTTGGTTTAGTTGATTGTAGATTGAGGGGAGTAAGTAAACGATCTGAGGAGTGGGATTATAAATACAGTAATAACAAATAAGACGGGACTGTTACTGAGGCGTTGCTTGCTTTGGTTACCGTGTGTCTTGAAGATGTCAGTACGTTTTGATAACTGAAGTTTGACTTGAAGTTTCCCTGAGTACGGGTCCCTCAAGACCACATCTATAGAATAGATTATTTGCATTTTCATTTTCAGATCGCTGGATTGATTTGACTTAATGGGTTTGCTTTAGGGCAGAGTTACATGAAACGTTAGTCCTTTTCTTGTCAACGTGTCACACTTCTTGTTTACAGCAGGTCCGGGTGACTGCCTGGAAGAGTAAACAGGAGTGACAGACCAACCTGCTCACAACACTTTGAGCAACTTTGCACTACAGCTAATGTCTGATGCTTCTCCACCAGTTACACCCAGATCTATCTAGTTACTTGAAATAACATTCCCACAAAATATCGCATTTTTAATTGTTTGGTGAGAGAGACAGATGGAGTGTCAGTGGCCAAGTTTGAGTAACAAACTAGGATTGATTCGTGATACCATTTTTAACCATTGATGATGAGATATAACATAAATGCTTGGTTAGGGCAGTGGTAATGACTAGATATTTGCTCAGTGACTGACTGAAAGCAAGACTGTAGTTGTATGCATATTGCTGCGATCTTGCCCACTTACCACAATGCCGCCTGTAGTGTTTTTACTGATGCTGTTTGGAGCATCATGCAGTCTTGGACAGGCCATGACACGGGAGGAAAAGCACAGGTTGAGGTGAGTTGAGAAAATCACACAGCACTCTTGGTAGTATATAATTTGAGAAAAACTTTTTCGCTCCTGAAAAGATGTTACACATTGTGACTACTGGTGTCTGTCCTCTATTTCTTCACCAAAGGAACCAAGTGGTTGAGATGTTTGACCATGCATATCAGAATTACATGGTAAGTTCTTCAAAATAACAGGAATTTAAAGTTGATGTTTGTTCTGCTGCCTTTGTATCTGAACTTGATTCAGGACAACTTTTCAGCTTATTAGGTGACCAAGACTTTTTTTTTTTTTTTTTGCATCTTTTGCATCCCAGCCTACACAATTAGTGTAGAGCGGGGACTGTCTGCTTTAAAATAAGTAATATTATTTTTGGTAATCCACAATTACGGAACAATAAATACACCTTACTGATGCTTTGGTGCATGTTTTTTTTTTCTTGTTTTTTGTTGTTTTGTCTCACTAAATATTTCATCTGGCTTCGAAACTTCTTTCATGTTGGGATAACTCACATCATGTATATTTCATGATAACTGAGGTCTAATCAGATTGAGTTGGCCACGTAAAAAAAACAGAACTGGAGTGAGTAAAAGTGAGTTTGTTTGTGTTTCTTAGGACCATGCATACCCAGCAGATGAGCTGATGCCTCTAACATGTAGAGGAAGAGTACGTGGGCTTGAACCCAGTCGAGGTGACATAGACGACGCTCTTGGAAAGTGAGTGCCATGACTACATTGACATTGAGATCTAATGTATTAAATGAGTAATAATGATGTGAGTCAAAGTCACATACAGTACACATTACCACACCTGGTCTAGCTCTTTTCTCACTGGTATTATTGTCCTTCTCTGCTAGGTTCTCTCTGACCCTCATTGATACTCTGGATACTCTGGTGGTGAGCATCATCTTTGTGTATACTGTAGTTTTTTTGTAGGTACTTTTAAGACTGCATGTAAAGCATATAAGAAAGTACTATGCACATTATATGGAGAAATGATCGAAGTCTATCTATTTTTTAATAATAATGATATTTTGTCTGTGTGAGTCTTTTATAGAGAGAAATGTCAGTGTTACTAGTTAAAAATTAACAAGGGCTGTAATTAAACATTTCTGGGATTATTTTTGTGAACAGTACCCAATGTATTTTATTCCACTTTTAGACTGTGAAATGGTGCATAATTGAGCCTCATTTTTATAATCATGTTCTATTTCTCATTGCCAGCTTTTGAATAAGACCACAGAGTTTGAGGCTGCAGTGAGGAGAGTCCTGTCAGATGTGAGGCTGGACAATGACATTGTGGTCTCTGTCTTTGAAACCAACATTCGAGTCCTTGGGTAAGATTGGACTGGACTGTCAACACACAATGACCGTTAAGAAATACATCACTCATATACAGTCACATATTTTAAAGTAAAACTTTTTTTTTTAATCTAATGAGCACTAAACAGAACAGCTGAAGTTCTAAGTAGACAAAAGACAGAAGAAATCAGTGGATTGTGTTATATTTTATTCTCCATTGTTGTTTGTTTGTGTGTGTGCTCAGAGGTCTGTTAGGAGGCCACTCCATGGCTGTGATGCTGAAGGACGGAGGTCAGCACATGCAGTGGTACCAGGATGAGCTCCTGCATATGGCCAAAGACTTGGGTGTCCGACTGCTGCCGGCCTTCAACACCAGCAGTGGCCTGCCTTACCCCCGGGTGAGGCAGACACACAGACTGTAATTCAGCTTGTGCCAGAAACAAACCGACATAGTCATTGTGTGAAATACACTGTACACTGTCTAATGGGTCTATACATATCAGCCTTCTCTTGTATGGTGGTAGTACCAGATTATTCCGTTTTTCAGGATTTTTCTTTCCAAATAAGTAGAAGGCTCTTCATGATCTATGCCAATACATGTAGTGCAGTTTATAGGGTAACACTGAATAGAGAATTATTGTTCTGATTGGAAGACAGTAACTGCTCATCTTCCTGAAATGATAAAACCTGTGTAGTTGTAATTGTAGCAGTTTAGCAAGAAGAGTCAGTGAAGACGAAAGTCATTTGTGATGCATTTACTGGACTCAGTCCAAGTCTGTATGTTGAAAGAAGTAGATAATTACCTCTTAAACAAAATTCAGTTTTATCAAAGTCATCATTAAACATGTCCCATCACATATGCATTATAAAAGACATTGTTAGGTTTATTATGCTCACACCTCCCGTGTTGCTGTATCACAAATTGACAGCTACTTTTGCTCGCAGCATTCTTGCAGATCATGGCTACATATTTCCATTTTCTGCTTCACCGCTCTGCTCGCAGCTGTCACAGCTTTTAGACACAGACATTTTCACGGCTGACTAATTTTCATGCACAATCTCTTGCAGACCAAATGCGTCTCTAAAAACAGATTTTTAAAAAAATGTTTTCTTTTTTCCTGCTTGACAGGTGAACTTGAAATATGGAGTCAGGGGTCCTGAGACGAGAACAGGCACAGAAACAGACACTTGTACTGCGTGTGCAGGAACCATCATCCTGGAGTTTGCTGCCTTAAGTCGCTTCACTGGGGATCCTGTTTTTGAGGTATTACATTTTCACCAGATAATCAACTCATGCCTACATTAACATGTTTTAATTTATGATTTAATGGACCTTTAATTGCTCTTTATATCTGTCTTGAATACTGCAAATGCTTTGACCACACTGACAGGAGAAACCCATTGGAAATATCAACAATCATAATGTTGGTTTACCACATAAATCAGTAATAAATTAAACATTTTGTGACTAAAATAAGTTCATGTTTTTGACCTTGGATAATCATTTACAAGTAGAACTTCTAATACAAAAAGACAAAGGCTTTTGTGCTTGCAAATCTCCTGGAATATTTTCCTGAGCTGACACTTAAACATACTTACCTGTCACCACTGTAAAAGAGCTGTTAAACTATTTCCATCGGCCATTTGAGCAGACATATATCAGCTCTGAACAGACACGTCCTACAAGTGGTTCATCTCTTTCTTTATCTTTAATCCAGGTCACACTTTGTTATTCCTCTGTGCCATGACAGCTGTGGCTGGAGGCATTATCTTTTGTTTTCTTTGTTTATTTCTTTGTGCTTATGCTGTATCATCTGACACCCTGATGTTCTCCCGGATTCACTGTGATAATATGTTGCCTTGCAACTGTTTTGTCTCTTATAAGATCTTTGTTAGTTGGGTCAGCAGTTATTTGAAACAGCCAAATGGAGTTCAGACGTCATTCATTTTGTTTGCATATTTGATTTTCCCACTGTGACATGTCAAAATGCATTTTGTGATAAAGGCCTCTTAATGGCAAATGTATTGAGGTGAAATAAGTGAGATGTAGACATTTGTGAGTGTGTAAAAATGTAAGAATTTGGTCTTTTTTGTACATTTTACTCAAGCAGATATAAAGAAAACTTCAGGTATTTGTTAAAAAGTTAAATATTTTTTGATGTGTTGGCATATTAGAGCCTAGGACTGGTTCATTTCCTGGCAGCACCAAACTGCTGAACAAGCACGGAGTCAGTCACTGTAATCATTCTAACAGTGGACAGCTGCTGCAGATCGATTTTTACGTTTTTAATCAATGATGCACCCTTCCTCTGATTCACACAGGCCCATGCCCGGAGAGCCCTGGACTTTCTGTGGGAGAAGAGACAGAGGAACAGCAATCTGGTGGGAACCACCATCAACATCCACTCTGGAGAGTGGGTCCGTAGAGGTGAGAGAAGGGGGCCTGAGAGGGTCTGTGGATGAAAGAGGGAAGTAGAATGACATGACTGAGTGCCAGGTTGGAGGAGGGCAGATGAAGGGGCGAGACAGGGATGAAAGAAATGGGAGTGGAGAAATAGGGGAGGGGGCTGCAGTAGTTATGTATTGATGAGGAGAAAAGGACATGGGCAAGTGAGTACAGCTATAATTTTTCAGTCTCTGTGAGAGGTGATTTGGCTGTACAGGGACTGAGAGGCTGAAAACAGAGCATTTGTTTGTCACCTGATTTCTCTTGTCTTATAAACTGATGTATGATTGTGTGTCTCCAGACAGTGGAGTTGGAGCAGGAATTGACTCGTACTATGAATACCTACTAAAGGCCTACATCCTCTTGGGAGATGACTTGTTTCTGCAGCGGTTCAATATTGTGAGCACACACACACACACACACACACACACACACTTTTCAGAGTAATTTGATGCCTCTTTGTCTTCATAATAGCATTTTGTCACAGGGACATCTCAACATAAAGCAGCCTTCTAGTTTTCCATTTGTGCATCTTAGGATTCTGTGTAGTCCTTCAGCACACAAGTTGGCATTAAAATATTGCTTCTTTTTTTTTTTTTTTTTTTTTTTTTTTTTTTTTTTAAAAACATTGTATTCAATAAACACTACTTTACCATGTATGTCCCATTCAGCATTACGCATCTATAATGAAGTACATTAGTCAGCCGCCTCTGCTGCTGGATGTCCACATCCACAAACCTCTACTTCCTGCTCGCACCTGGATGGACTCTCTGCTGGCCTTCTTCCCTGGACTGCAGGTCAGAGTGGATCACGTGAAGTGAACCTCTTACTGTCTCTTCTTGTCTTGTGTCATTCCAGTAATGTTGTACATATTGTGCATGTCCCAGGTATTGAAAGGAGATATCCGTCCTGCTATCGAGACTCACGAGATGTTGTACCAAGTTACCAAGAAACACAACTTCCTCCCGGAGGTAATCTGTCTCTCTGTATATCTGACTTGATGTCATTCAAATAGAGTCAAATAACCCCACATGGCGTATGTTGTTGACTAAAACTGGCTTGAAGTGAACCAGCCTGCATTTCACACAAGGCAGCTGCATTTTAGCTCGGTCTGTCCGTTTTAATTACAACGCCCTGAATGGTGTTCTGACCCCTTCGTCCTTCTTCCTCTGTCCCCAGGCCTTCACTACTGATTTCAGGGTACACTGGGCCCAACACCCCCTGAGGCCTGAGTTTGCAGAGAGCACCTATTTCCTTTACAAGGTAATTTATCAGGGAAGCTCGACATACAGTAATGCAGATGTGCTCTTTTTAGTGCCACAGTTGCAAGGTTAACGCCTCTTATCATTCATCAGTTTATGTTAAATGTTGTCAGCTTGCAGTTTGATCTGAAGTTTCTAACGTTTGACTAAAATTTCAAGGTGCATCTGGACTTACTTACAAAGTTTCAGAAACACTATCTCCATTTCAGCCACTGTGAGCTGCCTCCAGCATGCAGGCCACTAATTAGTGTTCCTAATTATCATATAATAATATTCTGCCTTTGGCTTTCTGGTGTCTTATAAAAATCTAACAAAGGAACATAATGTGATAAAACACTGAGAGTTACATCTTTGTGTCTGAGAAAATTTCACTGGAGCCTAGTCTGTCCTCTGATGTGATCACACTACTGTCCTCTCATTCTCCCAGGCCACAGGAGACCCTTACTACCTGGAGGCAGGTCGCACCATCCTGGACAACCTCAATCGCTTTGCTCGTGTTCCCTGCGGCTTTGCTGCAATGAAGGACGTGCGCACTGGGAGCCATGAGGACCGGTGAGAAAGACTGAGAACATTTTCCAATCATTTCTAGGAAGATGTACTATTAAACTGCAATTGTAGACACCATTTTAGACATGCATTACATACTGTACCATCAGCTGTACATAACATGAGATAATGGTATGTAAAGCATGGTATGAAATACAGCTAGTGAAAGGAAGGAAAAGTTAAATAGTGGGATATATTAAATATTATTTAACGATCACTGGATACAAAACAACATATATGAACAACCTTTGAATTGGTAACTGAGCCCAACTAATACTGAATTTCTGAGGCAGATATGGACATTTAGGGTTCAGGGTTCATTTTAATTTGGTTATTTAAAGGGCTAAGTAGTGAAGCAGGACATTCTACAGTTAACAACATAATTATATTTTAAAAGATGACAATAAAAAAAAGTTACATTTAATTATAATTTTTTATCAAGAATAACTTAAAAAACTAAATTTACTTCAGAGGTGAAAATGACAACAATACAATAAAAGTGACATTAAACATAAAAGGAACTTTTGGGTAAAATACACAAAAATGCAGTTTATCTTCCAACATGGATACAGGTATATCTACAGTGAGCAAATATGAAAAATATTGGCCTGCTGATAAGTCGGGCTCTACTTTGTGATGCCCATATTGATAATTTGATAGATATAGAGAATATATGGATGTTTAGCAGTGTCTTCTTTGTCTTATACCTCTTCTCTTTTTCTCAGAATGGACTCGTTCTTCCTTGCTGAGATGTTCAAATACCTGTTCCTGTTGTTTGCTGAAGCGGAGGACCTACCTTTTGATGTGGAGGACTACGTCTTCACAACTGAGGCACACCTGCTGCCTCTGTCTCTCTCCGCAGCCCCTCACTCCTCATCCGTTTCCTCAAATAGAACGGTAATTGTAATGATGCCATTATCATTAAAATCTGACAAAGAGATGAAAGCATTTATGCATTTCAGTAAATAATAAAACCTGTCATACATGTTCTCAGTCAAAGGAGGAGCTGGACGACTCAAACTTTGATTGGACCTGCCCAAACACCCGCCTCCTGTTTCCTGACCCCGCCTTCCCTCGTAACCTGAGAGAACCAATCCGTAGCGCTGTGGACAAGAGCTGCCCTCGTCCTGCTCCTTACCGGTATATATAAATACAGATTTTTTTTACCAGGTTATATGTCTCCATTTTTATCTGTTTTCCCTAACTACTGTATCTCATCCATCTTCATGCTCTTCTTCCTGCTTACCCACCTTTCAGGGAACCCGGTATGGGTCGTCCTCCCCTTAGGGCTCAGGACTTCATGGCAAACAACCCTGAACATCTGGAGCTGCTGAGGAGGATGGGAGTCAGTCTCATCCATTTGAAAGATGGCAGGGTGCAGCTGGTCCAACATGCTACGCAGGTACAGCAATTTAACAACAAGGATAAACATTCACATGTTTTTGTAAGTGGCTGGTTGTCATTAAAAACATTCCACAGACTAATTTAGTTTCTTAACAGTGTGTTAACTCTACTTTTCAGCTTCAGGGGTGGGAATGGGTGTCTCATGAGACAGTGTACTTACAATATTATGATATTGTAGACAATACTGAAATATGCCGAATATTGTATAGTTGTTTTTCACAAGGCAGGAACCAATCATCATTTATTCACTGCATTATGAAGAGTGCATTAAAGTTCTTGATGTCATTAAAAAGATACAACACTGTGCATCTGTTTACATGTAAAACTGCAAGAAAATATGCTGCGATACTGTTGCTGTTGTATTAAGAGACAGTGTAAAGTGGCAGACATATTCTTTCTCCCAACCTCCCAAAATTATGGTATTCTTTCCTTCCTGACTTTTTAAAAGTGTCTCTCTCTCTTCCTCTCCTCTCCTAGGCGGTGAGTGCGGTAGCAGCGGAGGACGGCGTACGTTTCATGCAGGAGATGATGGAGCTGTCCAGCCAGCAGCAGAAAGAGCAGCTGCCTCCCAGGGCCATTCAAATCGTCTCACATCCATTCTTTGGCAGAGTTGTGCTGACCGCCGGCCCAGCGCAGTTTGGCACAGACCTGTCCAAAAGTTCCACAGGGGTGAGTGGGTTTTGCAGCTTCGCCAAACTGCCAGGTTACAAATGGGCACTTAACTGTTCTCCTGTTTGTTTTTCCAAAGAGAGACACTCACTTTTCCCCTGTATTTTTAAGAGGGCACTTGCTTTTACAGAATACTTTCCTAATTCAAACAGAGGGAGAGATGAGTTCTCGGTTTCACCACCAGAAGAGAACATGTGGGATTAGACCGCTGTTCTGTACACCACATAATATTAAAGATGTTCATTCATTCTGCGTCTTCTTCCCTCCTGTGTGCAGGTACGAGGCTTTGTGACTGTGGCTGAACCCTATAGTGGCTGTTCTGAGATCACCAACGCTGAGTACGTCCAGGGCCACATTGCTCTTCTCCAGAGGGGTCAGTGCATGTTTGCAGAAAAGGCCCGACACATCCAGAAGGCTGGCGCCATCGGAGGCATAGTCATCGGTGAGGGCAAGCAGCTAACGACACAAAATGGAAGATAACTACTCACTGACTAGATTAGTGCACGATAAATTGATTATCTTGAAGACGCACTGTGCAACAGGGTTCTGCACATCACATGAGTAATAAGGCAGAACTTCAGTAAGATTGACAGTTATACTATGATAATAATCTTTATATATGTAGTGTATTCCCTTACAATAGGTTATAGAATCGACAATATATTATCACTTAATCTCAGTTCTCAGTTGTGAAAATCACCTTTTCCCTTTAAATTTCCTGTTTTGTCTGAAAAGCTGAAACCAAAAGATTGAATTTAAAATAGTACAAAACACTGAAAAACAGGAAAATCTTTCATTTGAGAAGTTAGACCCAGAAGGACTTCAATGATAAATTGATTATCCATATCGTTGTCAGTCAATAAAATTGAGTAATATCTCTCACTTTCCTCCTGTTGCCTCATTTCTCTCTGTCCAGACGACAACGATGGCAGCAGCAGTGACACAGCTCCCCTGTTTCAGATGGCTGGGGACGGCCGTAACACAGATGACATCACCTTGCCTCTCCTCTTCCTCTTTCACAAGGAGGGCAACATCCTGTTGGAGGCGCTGAAGGAGTACAGGGAGGTGGAGGTGCTGCTGAGCGATAAAGCCAGAGACAGAGGTGTGACATTACTCCCTAATGGTTGGAGTTCTTCTCTTTGTTTCACTTATCTCTCTTGATAAGATTGATCACATCAGTGTGCTTATATCTCTCTACTGACTGAGTCCCATTATGCACTCGGCTTCGTAAAATAAAGATGAGGTGTAGGGATTCAGGCATTATTTGAAGTCTCAGAGATCGTGACTCATTCCAAAGCCACCCACCAGCTGTGGTTATAATGGTGCATGGTGGAGATTTACACCCTTATCAATATTGCATCCTCATTATTTTCCTTCTTTTCCCCATTTGCCAAATCCCTGTATTCCCCTGTGGTGGACTGTAACAGTGCCTTTCCTCTCCTCTCTTTCTTGGCTTCTTTTCTTTTTTCATAACCCTCTCGCCTTTTGGATGAGCAGCAGCCATATTCAAAGGTAAACCTCTTCCTGGCAGCCTGATTGAGGGCAGTAAGTATTCTGTTCTTCTCCTTCTTTCTTTGTCTGTTACCAACATTTTGCGCATTTCCTTCCCCTTGACTTTACCTCTGTTTTTCCTCCTTACATTAATGCTTGTATCTCTCCAACCCTCTCTTTCTCACTCTTCCCTTTAACCACAGGATTGTGTTAGTGTTTGATAGAAAAGCTTAGTGCAGTCACAGTATTGTCATTTGTTATTTTCCCCCTCAGAGTTTAGGACACGACAGCTCATTATGTCTTTTTTCTCGCAGGAGCAAACCAGTAGTTACACATGGCAAGGCTGCACGGCGTAGCAGGGTTTGACCCCACTTTTAATTTCCACCATTTCTACCAAATTCGTACTTTGTTTTTGGTCAGGTTGTCTTGATTTTATCCACATTTACTTTAAAATATTCATCTGTGTTTGCTGTAAAAATGGCAATATTTCATAACTAATGCTAATAAGCTAAAATAGGGACTATTACCATTATAGGTAACATGGGTGTAGCTGCATAACAGCACGCTCAAAACAGTTAGGGAACTGAGCACTATTCAGCAGAACAGGTGCTTACTGAAAAAGACACACAACTACAAATCCTGTGATTTATGGGTAGTCTCTATAGCCACAAAGCCACCATGACACCATAATAACCAGATAGCGTGTCTGTACCGGAATTATGCAAGCCTTGAAGTTACAGTCATTGCCTGTTGTCACTGCGGCAGTCCTGGGTATATTCCTTCGACTGTATAATAAAAAGCACAAACCTGTTCCTTAACACAGTGGCTACATTTTTAGAAACTATAACAGATCAAGTAGACTTTTTTTTTTCTAACCAGTTCCGTGCAAAATTCACAGTAGGACTTTTTGCCAGATTTCTTTCCTCAGTTGACTCTCAGTTTGGTCGTGCAGCTATGTGAGAATGACTTTATCCTGCGGGAAACATGACTCACCATCAGCATCATGCTGTTATGGTTGACAGCCTCTCGATGAAAACTGTTCTATTTTTGACTGAGAATGGCTACCAGGAGGCATGTTGTATGGATTACTGACTGAAGAGGAGGAGAGGAGCTTTGTGTGTGTATGTGTGTATGTGTCCTGCACATCTTTTTGCGTAGAGCTGCTCAGCCTTATGCCCCTGCTTCCTTTTCAGGTGTAGATGTGCAAGAAGCGGGGGAGGGCTGCTTAACTGAGGCAACAACTCCCACCTCATTTGAGCCTACCAGCCAATCGCAAATCAGCACGGTGGAGCTGGACGAATCTGTTTCAGAGGAGGTTACCCCATCCCAGGACGCAGCCAGTCCTGAAGATGAAGAAACTAGTCCTGCAGAAGAAGTTAGTCCACCGGAAGAGGAAGCTAGTCCTACAGAGGCAGAAGCTGGTTTGGCTCAGCCTAAGGAGGAGAGAGACTCTGACAGGAGAGAGGAGTCTGAGGGTGACACAGACTCAAGTAGCCAGTCAGTGGATGAACTGCTGGCTGATTGGCGGGAAGACTTGGAGGCTTTCCAGCAGATGGAGAAGGATGAGCTCTGACAGTCATCGGGTGTGACATACCCTGTGACTGTGGTTTGATCCCACCATGGGGAGAGCCCCAGAGGGAACGCATCTTCACACCAGCCTCAAACTGATGAACACAAAGAAAGCTGGGGAGATGTCTCTCGTGACTGTTTCTTCTCTTTCCCTCTGTAGATGGTACCACGTGCCAAGGCAAGCCACATACTGCATCACTGGACCATAAGGAAGTCCTTTTTAGCCTGGTAGACAATGGATGAGAGACCAGGGTTCTTACCTCACTTTCTCATGCAGTTTCTGTTAATCTGTCATAACAAAACCTAATGAATGACATGGACCAGACTGTGTGTAACAGTGTCTCACTTTCCAGTCCAAATTACTTCTCACATTGTTGTTCTCTATGCATTTCTGACTCCTTTTGCTCAGATGAGTGCTGGTCCAACAACTACGTTCTGACTAATTAATCCATCGACCAATTTTATTTAAACGTGATGATTATTTGTGATGATACATTTACTGTTTTTATGGTCTTGGACCTAATCATATGTACGCATTGATGTGAGTTAAAAGACTTAATTCACGTGGCGACCGGTGACATCAAATAAGCTGCAGGATCTTTTTATGGCTTTATGGTAGACAAACTCAACACCAAAATAATCTCTCTGGAGGTATAAGAAGTCATCTGTCAGTGTAAATATGTAGTAAGATATATTTACTGAAACAGTATAGCGCTGTTCGCTCAGGTTCCGGTGCTCCTCCCAGCCAACAACCTCTGGACCACATCTGGTGGAGCAGACACACCCTCAGGAGCGTAGTGGGATGGATTACACACCCACAGACAGCCACAGGAGGGCGCTATATGATCTGTCTGTTATGCTGTAGCTGCTGATTGATTGGAAGGAACAGAAAAATGCCAATAAATGAACATGATGGAATTAAATAAAAATTGAGAGGGAAATGGGGAAACCTGGCCTGATTCTGATTTGAACACAGGTGTTTGGTTTAGATGTTGCAATTCAAGAGAAGATTTATTCATTTTGTTTTGAGTTTACTGTATTAAGATGAAGGCATGTTTGAATCCAAAAAGAGTTTCCCTTTTGACTGGGAACCTTGAGTGTTATACCACTTTGTAATGATGTAAATGAATTCACAGAATATTTAGCACATCTGTTAATTTTCAGTGGAATTTTTAAAAACATGTTCACTCATACTAGAAAACGGAATTAATGAGTGAAAGGTGAAGATTTAATTTTTGACCAAGTTCTTTTCCTACAGACATGTTTCTATAGACAGTGGGCGAACACCCCCACATAAAATCAGTTGAGTCAACATGACTTAGATCTGTAACTGGAAAATTCTCAGCGTGTACCATAGCATTACTGTCAAACTGATTAAAGGTGTGGTTGAAGAAGTACTCACATCTTTTAATTAAGTAAAAATAGAAATATGCAGTTAGAATCATATGAATTGATTTTCAAAATGTTGATTATATAATTTGCAAAGAAAGTGAATATAGTTTTCGGATGTATTGAATATTTGCCCCGTAAATATGTGGAGTAGTATAGTATAAAATATAATTAAATTTAAATACAATAGGCTACAATTACAACACTTTAGTAACTGTACTTGGTAACTTTCCACTGCTGGTTAAAAGTGACATTTTAATGATGGAAACGGTATGACAATACAGTAGCTCATGGTGGATCAGGTTCATTGCTGGGACCAAAATAAAGACGGCAGCTCTGGGTCCAGCAGTGATTGGTGAGTTGGTGGGGCACTCCTCAGCAAGATGGCTGCATTGCTGCGCGCAACAGTGGCATCCTGGTGAAATGACGCAAGCCACGGTTTACGTTCAGTCCTCGAGGCTCTGAGCTCTCGAGTCTCCATAGCGCAGATCCCGCCCGACACACAGCCGGAAGACCCGACCGGCTATCCTCCAGTGGACCGAGCGGAACCGGTTCATCTGAGTAAGTATCAGCGTGAATTAGTTGTTAATCGTCTCCCAAAGGTGTCGTTTATCCCCCAAGAGAAAACCACGTTCCTGCTTGTGGTTTCTTTCTCTCTTTGCTCCTGTCTTTTGTTGTTGTTTCCTGAGTGTGCCGTGATTACCCGGCGCTTTCCTTCCTGCACTCAGGGTTTCTTCGCAGCTGTCGATGTTTTGTTGCTGGTGGAGCTCGCTGCAACGCTAACAGCTTTATCTCAGCTTTTTTTATTTCCGCCGGTAAAACACAAAAACGAGGCTCGAAAGGGAGATGTGTACACGTCTCTTTTTGAGTGTGTGAATGTTGGTCGCTCGGCTTGGACAGCGTTGCCTCAGCGCATTTCAAATTTTCCACACATCCTGGTTGGCTGTGGCACCCTGTCCCGCTGCTCCCTCCCAGCCCGATGCTGATGCTTCTGAGGCCGTTTACATTTGGAGAAACACTCAAGAGAAGGAAGAGGGACCTGGGCTGGCAGAGGCTTCAGGCCATTAACCTTTGTGGAAATGAAACTATGTGTACACACACGGAGACCGCTTGTGTTGTGTCCCTCTGCCTCCCCCAGTGGGGGGAACAAAGCGCCCAGTGTCTCCTTGTAGCGCAGCTGGACACAGCTGTTGAGCCGAGCTGCAGCTCAAGCCCCTGGGCAGGACAGAGCTCTGTGGCCGGGGCATGGGGCTGCTGGGGCTGCTGCTGCTGCTGCAGCTGCACAGCCTGTGTGTGTGCTTACAGCCTCTCCAGTATGATGGGAAAAGCTCTTCCCTTCTGTCGACCACCACACATAACCAGTGAGCTTTTGGGCATTTGGTTAGGAACTGCTGACTGTCTTTGTTGCTCATTACTGCTGTTGCAATGTGTCTGCCTCAGAGGGAAGAGAGAAGCTGCTGGATAATATTACGAAAGTCACAGCAGCCAGAATTAGATTTGATATACAGGCTCATTTGCAGCTCATTAGCTAAAACTTAGCCTGAGTCTATTCCAATTGTATCCTTCCCCACTTCCTCAGACACTATTATACACACTATGTTGCCAAAGGGGGCTTGATAGGTTTCCAAATGCCTTCCTGGCTGCTGTGTTTAAACATGCCATATGGCCATTAGCTACTGTAGATTTCCTCATGTGATCAACACCAGACCATTACATCCATTTGGTGGCTGTGCAGCACCCTGGTGTGAAAGTAGGTTGATGTGGCCAGTATTACAGCGCATAGCATCCTGTCATCAGCAGCTTCCATCAGGGTTATATAGGTTACAATTGAGCACCAGCAATCCTGTGAGTGGATGTTGCAAGTCCCCCTCCCTACTTGATTTATCTGTCTGTCCTCATCTATCTGCCTCCATCTGCCTCCATCTCCCACCCTCCCTCACTTGCTTATAGTGTGTGTGTGTGTGTGTGTGTGTGTGTGTGTTTGCTTGTGAGTCGTTGCTCACATATGGCTTTTGGTTCCGGTGGCTTGCAGACGAGACTGAAATGCAAGAGTCTCACTCCTCCTCATTCCTTTTCCTCTCTGTCTCCTACTCGGAGGCAGGAGCATCTATTCTTAGCCCTCCTCCCTCTTCCTCATCCCCTCAATCATCATCACCATCATCTCCCTGTCCGTCCCGCCTGTCCGTCCACCTGTGGCCTCTCCACCTAGAGCTGATTAACAGCAGTTCAGGTGATTGCTTGGCCCCCGTTTGGGTCATGATGCAACACCTGTGATGTCACCGTGTGAGGAGGTGGATGGTTTCCATGGTTACCAGGATGTCTTCTCCATCTGTCCGTCTGTCCGTCTGTCTGTCTGTCTGTCTGTCTGTGTGTGTGTTTGGGTGTGGGTGTTGGCAAGAGTTCCCATGACTGTCTCTTACGTCCAGTGTGTGTTTTCTTTGCGTGTATTGTGTTCCCTCTGTGGCAGTGCTTAGTGCTGTCAGGTGTGATGAGGTAGTCTATATTGCAGTGCAGAAAGCACAAGGCCAGCACAACACGATCCCTCTGGGTTCTGTGTGTCTGTCAGTTTGACTGAGGGGCTTGCTGGCCTATCGGTTTGTCCACCTGACTGAATAATCAAAACCAAAGCGGCAAGCGTTGCAGCTTGAAACCTGAAAACTGCACTTGTCTTTATGTGGTTTGTTATTTTTGCTAGGTGCACGTGTTTATATGTGTCTGTCTGCACTGGAGTCTACATGTATAGCTCAGTGATTGTGGGCTGTTTGTGCCATTGCTCGCCTTTTGAGTCAGCAGGGGTTGGCTGTGCAGCTTACATGCATGCTTTGTGTGCTTGTGTCTGTCACATGATAAAGCAGCGTCTCTCTGTGTCCCTGACTGTGTTTACAGTGCAGTTTGTGCTCAGAGTCCAGTTGGGATGGGACATGGAGACAGGGTCCAGTACTGATTTGGCTTACCATTTTTTTTCTTTTCTTATCTCTTATTCCCACTTCTGTGCTGACTCTAAAGTCCTGTGTGAATCTTTGCACAGTGTTTTCCCATCAGACAGAACGCATCTGTTTCCCATCTACACAGTAGATAAAATGGTCTCTGATAGGATCTCTGAAGGCCCATTCCTTCATGATGTTGGATTGATGTGAGAAAAAAAAATGTCAACCTTCAATAAGAGCATATACACTTAATATATAGGGCAGATGAGCGTGAAAAGCCATATAACCTTCAGTCTTAGCTTGGGTATCTTTTAAACCCAAGTGTTAAGTTTATGTTGTGGTGGGTTTACCTTCCAACACATTGCTGGTTCTCTACCTTTTATTCTCCTGATATTGTGCACAAACACCACAGCAGGTCATTGAAATGATTGGATCACTTTTAGGGCATTCACAAACAGTTATTTTCTATAAGCAATTTATCTGGTGATTACCTTGATTAATCTGTTTGTCTATAAAGTGTAAGAAGGCAGAGAAAAGGCCCATCACAAGTTCCCAAAGTCCAAGGTGACATCTCATTTTTATACTGAAGATGAAAATAGTAATACCCATAGGTGTAATTGTGTTATCAATAATAACAGCAGCAATGCAGCACCAATTATTATTATTATTATTATTATTATTATTAATAATAATAATAATAATAATAGTAATAATAATGATAGTGATAATAATGTGTTGTATTGGCTGATACCTGAAGAATGAGGACAGGGAGAGAGAAGCTGCAGGAGAGAGAAAATACAAAGTTAATGGCATGAAAGAGAGAGAGAAAAGCATCAGTGCATCAACAGAGTCCCCCCAGCAGTCTAGGCCAATAGCAGCATAACTAAGGGATGGGTCAGGGCTCACCTGAGCCAGCCCTAATTATAAGCTTTACCAAAGAGGAAAGGTTTAAGCCTGGTCTTGGTCCTAAATGTAGGGAGTGTGTCTGGGAGCTGGTTCCACAGGAGAGGAGCCTGAAGCCTGATAACCTGAAGGCTCTGCCTCCTGTTTTACTCTTAGAAACTCTAGGAACCACAAGAAGGCCTGCATTTAGAGAGCGGAGTGTTTTGTTGGGATAATAGGGAACTATGAGCTTTTAAAGATATGCTGGTGCCTGACTATTAACTGCTTTGTAGGTGAGGAGGAGATATGATCTTTTTTCCTACTTCCTGTCAGTACTCGCGCTGTAGCATTTCGGATCAGCTGGAGGAGTTTCACAGTTATTGGGACATCATGATAATAAAGATTACAGTAGTACAGTCTAGAGGTAACAAATGCATGGACAAAAAATCATTTTTAGGCAGGATGTTTCTAATTTTTGCAATATTATGCAGGTTTTATGTGTGAAGTGAAGGACATGTGTTTCTTACTGTAGCACTGGAGAAACTGTTGAACTTAGCTGAGAGAGATCTACAGGAGAGAAGCAGTCTAAATACAAATTAGGCATTACAGTTGATTCCAAGGCTACCGTACCGGACAATACATCTGTGTCAGTGTAGGAAGGAGATGGTGATGGTGAATAGTCATTATGGAGGGCTCTTTTGTATGTTTATAGACTCTCTTGCCTTGTGAAATTCTTCCAGATTGGTGGAACGCCACTTCCTTTCCACCTGTCGTGATTCTGCTTTAGAGCACGCGTTTGTGAATTGTACCACAGAGCCTCTTCTGATTCACTACCTTCTCTTTCAGAGGAGCGACAGTGTCGACTGTTGTACGCAGTGAGGCTGCGGCACTATCAACAAGATCATCAACTTGTGTGGGTGTAAAGTTGAGATAACTGTCCTCTATTGTATTGACATATGGCAGTGGACTAAATAACAATGGATTTCTTTCTTTAAATTTGGTTAAAGCATTATCAGACAGACACCTACTGTAAGAACTAACTCAGATAAAAACAGGGGCTTAGACCCCCTCTGTTAGCATGATAAAAGTGAAAATGCTTTTAGGAATTTAAACATGAATCTTCAGTGAGAAAAGCCAAGGCACTTTTTCATAGAACAAATCTTGTACATTTACTGAGTGTGGTTATTTCTTAGGCTGTGAAATAACTAAATTCATCACAAGACAAAAAAGTGTCAAGATCTGGGTGGCTCACTAACTGGGCTAAACCATTTCCTGGCGAAAACCCTGTTAGGTGATTTTTGCATACATTTGCCACATCATAAATATATTCTGATAATAGATTTTAACCTTATCACCTAGCACAACTACTGTCAGCTGATTGTGAATAATAATACCCTGATGCTGTAATAATACCCTGATGCTGTCATCAGTCTCTTGGACAGCTGATTAGAAACTGTTGAAGGGTCTATTGAGCGAAAGGTTTCCTCGCTGGAGCGTGTGTGTCACTGTGCAGGATGATAGATGAGCAAAAAACACTGGTTTGCATCTGAAAGAATAACGCTGTGGGTATATCACACAAGCATTACAGAGACATGAAAAACAGGCTCATCTGTAGCTCATTGCTGAAAGGTTCGAACAGGCAAACATTTCAGTGTTTTTCAATCACACACAGACTGAAACGGCTTTGCCAATTATCTTGCAGCACGCTCGCCAGTTACACACAGATTGATATTTATTTTCATCAGCTGCAGT